TTATAAAAATAAGGGGAAATAATAATTGATGAATGCAATAACAAAACGATTCTGATCTATATTTAGAGATAAAGGGCAATTAAGACCTATCAGTTATGTAAATCCTCTGTCGTCCCCTTCTCCTCTTGCTCCACATAGCTAGGCTTAAAAACCCAGCTGTATTTACATACTTACAGTGAATTCATTTTAAGCCTCTTGAACTCAGTGGGATTAATAGGCTGATCCTCTGTTTATGCTGGTAAATCACAACATGGCAAAAAAATTAATCTGCCGGAATACTTTACTTGTGTACACAGAGCTCAACAAATCCTGCACAGGACAGAGTGCCAGGATGCACCCCCGTGCTTTGTCTTCCCATCTGCAGATTTGTTCAGAACCTCTGGAGCTTCCAATTATTAGTTGCAATCCCTTTTTTTAAAACTTCCATTAATATGTTCTTTTTTTCTCTCTCTCCAAGGAACTCAGAACAATAAACATGTCTCCACTTAGGATCCCAGCAACAACTGAGAGAGATAGATAAAACTGAGACAGTGTTGAGCCCAAGGCAAGCCTGTGAGCTGAATGAGAATTTGGAACCAAGCCTTATCATCATCACTATCATCATCATTATGGAACAGCAATGATGAATATAATATTAGAAATTGTGGATCTTAAGGTACTTTTTAAGATGTAATTCAGCTGTAGCCAATTAATGCCATAAGAGATTTGGACAATATTTGAAATGTTTATGCAATGTGAAATTTGGATATGAAATATATGTAGGTTTAGATGTAAAATAGAACTTAACAGAACACGGGAGATTATTAAGCTAAATAAGTATACTTTGTGATCTTATTTATGATGAATATAATATTAGAAATTGATGATTTTAAGACACATATTTAACCACTGCGATGCTGGGGATTAGGGACCAGCATTTTAATGTGCAACCCACCAGGCTTGTAACTACAATACCTGGACACCAAAATTTAGAAGATTCTGAAATCTAGAGCTGAAGTGACCAGGAGATGTCAGGAAAATGGATGGTAACATTTTGTGGACCTCTTCCCTTCCC